AATGCCAACACTGACCTTGAAGACGACGACACTTTTCTTTCTGCCGTGTCAGCAACCCGCTTGGCTGAGCAATAACGTCACGACTCGGAGCTCATACTGCTCATTGACTACCTGGCAGGACGCAATTCCTACCCTCCTCAAAGCTTTGCACGCTCGCTATCCTCCTTTTTTTCCGCGATGGAGTGCTTTACAAAAAGAACTTTCATCCTACACAAGCTATGTATCTGCTTGTTGCGCCAACTACGCTTCGTGGTGACATTTTACGTGCGTGTCATGATGAGCCATCGTCCGGACACCTCGGCTATACGCGCACGCTGCAACGGATTCAACGCTCCTACTACTGGCCACGTCTCGCAAAAACTGTGAAGCACTACGTTCGCACATGTCGCGACTGTCAGCGACGTAAGGTTCCACCTTTACGACAAGCGGGACTACTGCAACCAATAGGCCCACCAAAGGTGCCCTTTCATCAGATTGGCATGGACTTGCTGGGGTCATTCCCCACGTCTTCGTCTGGAAACCGGTGAATTCTGCGGAAACCGGCGTCTTCGTCTGGAAACCGTCTTCGTCTGGAAACCGGGAAACCGGTGACGACAGCTGGAGCACCAGCTGTCGTCATAACTGAACAGCTTTCACCGCAGAGATGCTGCAGGAAGTCTTGCGATTAAGTGGCACGGAACATCGTAAAACAACGGCTTACCACTCGCAAGCAAACAGGCTGACTGAACGACTCAATAAGACAATTGCAGACATGCTGTCAATGTATGTGGACATCAATCACAAGAACTGGGACGCCATACTTCCCTACGTAACTTTTGCATATAATACTGCTGTTCAAGAAAGTACCGGTTTCACACCTTTTCGCTTAGTCCACGGTCGCGAGGTCATGACGATGCTCGACGCCATGCTCCTGCCCGACAACTTAGGAATATACCGCACCCATGCCGCCAAATTCGCGCAGTGTGCAAAAGAGGCCCGTCAAATTGCTCGTCACCGTATTCAACATCACCAAACCGCAGACGCACGCCGCTACAATCTTCGTCACCATGAAGTTATCTTCAATCCCGGTAATGAAGTCTGGGGGTGGACCCCTATCCGACAACGTGGCCGTTCAGAAAAGCTTCTTCGCCGCTACTTCGGCCCTTACAAGGTCGTACGACGTCTCAGCGACGTCACATACGAGGTTTTCCCAGAAGGCACTTCGAGACGTTCCCGTTTCACCCCGCGAACTGAAGTCGTTCACGTTTCACGGCTAAAACCACACTTTTCGCGCTGTGAATCGCCAGTGAGCGACTGACTTTCTTCGTCTCTCCCTTACATTCTTTCCTATTTTTCTTATTTCTTATTTAACTCTTGGCTCCACAACCAACTATGTTATTCCGCCTTACGCCATTCATTTTGCTTGCATGGTAATTTTCATCTCATTTTCTTTTCTTTTTTTGCCTTCATGTACAGCATCAAGACGATGCTTCTTGTGAGAGGGGGTAATGCCACCATTGATGAATGAGCCGCTGTGGCTCATACCCGTTTCGGGCTAAGAAGAAGAAGAGAACATTTTCGTTGCTCTGGTTCGGGTGAACTCCTGGCTGCAGGTCTTGTTTTTGCTCGCGACAATATAAAACCTTCGGCTATAAGCTTTTTTAGACTCTTCAAGTGCCGAGCGGCTGGTGTTGTTGTTCCTAACTATTCACGCATAGTGTGTGCGCACTCTGGTATAGTTTTTTCCATAACGTGAAACGCAGCTTTCCTGAATACAGGAACACTAAAGTAAGATAAAAAGCCTCATCCTCATTACAACCATTTTTTTTCTCATAACCTAAAGGTCAAAAAGAAATTTAATGTGAGCGCTTGTATGCTAAATTCTTGGTCGATCTTTGGCAAAAAATGTGTGCTCCGTCTTGTCGAGCTAAAATTTGCCTGAAGTCTGAGCTTCGCCTGGAAGAGTATAGAATGCGATGACGTCATTTGGCCTCGTCCGCATCGGCTTGTCATTTTTTAGCCAGCCATTCACTCCTCTGTGTGAACCTCAACCGTGCCGCGTAGAAAGTAACGCCTGCACGCATAGTATACGAATTGCAAGTAGAGTTGCGAAGTACCCACTACGCCATAATCAAATATTTCGTGAATTAACAATGTACTTATTAGTAGTCCTTACGCTGAACTGCACACTTCGTTGATGACGTTTCTGATTTTAATGGTTAATTACGCTCGAACACTCTGCGTAGGTGGACCTTTATGTCACTGATTGGGCAGTTCAAATTCATGCAACAAAGAGTGGTTGTGAAGCAGTATTACCGAGCACCATGCACGTTGGGACGAATTCAACCGGACTTGCGAGAAAGCTCTACCGCGGCTGCGAATCTTTACAGGAACAAAGAATGAACGTGAAGCTTTTGAAGACCACTCAAAAGTGCTTGCGTTTACTGGGGCCTATTCCTAAGCTTCACCGAACCAGATGGCGTACCAGTGAATAGGCCCAGCAGAAAAGGGGGTTTTCGGGCTATGCAGAAGCTTGATGAGTACAACTGAAGGCAGCAATCTTTAGTCTCCCAAATAAAGTATTGAAGGATTAGCCGTGTTTCACAGTGTTTCATAAATCCAGGGGCAATGTCGAGTGAATCATGCAGCCGCATTTCTTCGTTAGTGCAGACATATTTGTGCAGGGACTCAAAGGTCACATGAAGCAGCGTATAGCGGAAACCTTGACGATCGTTTGCCCAGTAGCCTTAGGATTAAGCCACTGGTGACAACGAGGAACGGGGTAGGCAGGAGTTTTTTTTTATTCTGAGGTGGTCGCCGATCACACCTGCAAAAGCTGCGTTTGTGGATTCATCTGTTCCCTGCCAGTGTGGGCAGTAGTGGGCACCCGATATGCCCTCTTAGAAGCTAGTCTCCATTTTTGACTCCTTGCGGCTGCAATGACTAGAGCAGTGCGAGGACTACAGCAATGCATGTTCGGCTCACAACGGATGTGTGAATATGACTAATGGGCTTAGTCACGAGGTAATAGCGTGTGCTGTTACCGGTTTACTAACGCCTTCAACTCGGAAATAGCGATTTGGTCTCTTTCACTTTGAGAAAAAAAGGCAATGGGGATATCTTTAGAGTATTAAATGCTATACTTGATCTACTAACTTAATCAATCTGCTTCTGCGGGCTGTTACTTGAAGTGATGTGATATCTAGCGTTAATCATGGAAAACCCATGTGTTTGTATGTTGACGCAGCCTTTAGTTGTGACCTTAGAAAGCTTGCAATAAATCTTAAGTTCCGAAAAATGCCCCACGTAGCCACGCAATCGGTATCTTTTCTGTCAGCGCCACGCTGCAACTAAAGAGGCATAAGAGGGTGCGCTGTAAAGAGGTGTTGCTTCGCAGACAAGCGGGTTCGTGTGCTCTGCTCATTTAGGTCGCTCGCAACCATAGCAGTGGTGCCGCCTGTCGGTATAGACCCTTTGACTGTTTGCAATCACTGTTTCACTGTTTACAATTGATGAGCTCCAGTTTTGTCCACCAATGTGCCTTAATAGCATCGGTGAGCAAAAACATGTTTAGAAAATGGCCCGCTGATTTTGTATAGTTACCTTCACTTATTTGGCAAAATATTTTCAAGTAAATGTCTTCTTGAGCTTTACATAGAAATACCCTTTTGCTTTACGCACGTTCCTTCTATCTGAAAAACTACAGAGATATTTTCCTTACTCTTGAGAAAAACTTGAAAACGTACTGTCAGTTTTGACGTTGAGAGCTGATAAATGAAGTGACCGGAAGTTTTTTTTTTGGGGGTGGGTGGTGGGGGGGGGGGTACATTGCGTGCGATCTTGAAACCATTTATACCGAAGACACGATCGATGGAGGATCACGCGCGTTCACAAGGGGGCATTCGCAGGGTCGTGTTAGCGTCTTAAGGGTGTGGCGTCTTGTGTCTTGACGCTATTCTAAAGATTGTCATATGACTTAGCCCATCACCTTTGAGTAGCTAGGACTGTTGTCGTGCGTTAAAATCGTAGCGCCTATATTTGTTCCTCACTAATTATGCCAATAAATACTACAAAAGTTCATGCGGGTCCTTTTGGTCCAAAGACGTATTGCCAGGATATTTGATGTTTTTGCCGCGCCTGTTCAGATTGAAAGTTGAAAAAAAAGGGAAGTTTTCTGTCAAAGTGCGACTCGGTGATGGGATCAGTGTGACATTTTACGCAATATTCTTTGGACTACTTCATGTTGTGCTGGTTGTAATAAACAGAAGTTTCCATTTACGCATGAGTACAGCAACAGCAAAAACAGTTTTTCTTCGACACAACGAAAACGCGATTTCCTAGTTCGAGTTTTTATGAAAGCTGTAAGAAATTACAGTCATATTGACGACGCAGCTTCAGAGCAAAAATTTCCATAGTTTTAAAGATTCCTTTGCTCAGTAAATAAGAAAACCTACGTTGCGTTCTTCAACACGAGTACCCGTATAATGCAAAGCCATCATCACCACAAAGTAGTTATCACAATAATTAAAACATATGATTATTACAAAATCAATTCTTTTGGTGGTACCGCGGTTTTGACCAGAACCCCTACGCCCCGACCATGAGTGTTCTAGCACTGGGCTGCACACTAATTTCTGTTTACTCTTCTCAATACAACATCAAAAAATTTCTCTAGAGCGTGTCAGCTTAGTTTGGTCCGCTTTGACGCGTTGAAGTTTCTCCAATTTTGCCAATTCATAAAATACATATATCCAGGAAGGAACTTGACGGGAACAGGAAACATAATATCGCGAGAAGACTGTAGTGGGCAAGATGCAAAATTACGTGGAATGGTTCACCTTATTTACTTTGTACTGCTAAATATCTCATGATCACTGGCGTGCGTATGTCTGTTTGGAGGGTATTTCGCAGAGCATCTTGAAATCATGACCGAACCCAAGAATAACTAACCACCTGTTGTGCACGCAAGGAAAAGCCTGAATAGGACCTCGTTTGCCAACGTGTTCGTTGGTAATAAACTATTTTTCACTGTGTCGTAAATTTCTGTTTTTATTTGAGCTACAAAGACCTGTACCACAGCTGTGCCTATGTATCCACGCAGACTTCTCCGCCGTCATAAGATACACATTTTGTTCCATATTTTTGGCATACACTTTGCCCTCTCTCGCTGCATTTCTGCGGCTTTGATCGTTCTGTAAAAGAAGAAAGGAATAGCATGTTGGATTATCTAAAGGGTAACATAATTAAATATTTGTGATAAGAAACATGGCTACTGGCAGACAGCAATATCGGCTTAGTTTTTTTTTGTTTTTGAAGAACTCAAGTTTTCAACTGCGCTCTCACTGAAAACTTCAGAAGTATATAACTTATAATGAATATATATCTACATTTGCCCTCAATCTGCTCTTCCTTATGATTGTACACTTTACCCTGGTTACTGCAAGCTCTTTCTGCTTCTATGGTATACTAGCTGGATTTTTGAGTGGTTCATCTTCAAGGAGAGATACAAACAAACAAAATTGATGTCTTGAGGCGAAACGCTTGGCTTTTGCCAGGTATTCTCATAGTCTGACTTCATTTACACGAACGCAAGTTATCTGGAATTCAACAAGCAGTAAACTAAGAATAATGGGTGAAACGTGATTGCAAAGAAATCTTTACCTAAGCATTTGAATTTGTCTTTTTTGTCTTCGCACATTTTGACTTGGTCGCTGCAAACTTTTTGTGATTCTTTGGCACATGTAATGGCCTTTTCGAGGGGAGTTTGTGCAAGAGTGAAAAATGAATTTGGTTACTTGAGCCACATGACTGAATGAAGGGCTTGCTGTCATTTGATATTCCACCACACTAGTTATTTATTACTTGCCCTGTATGTGTCCTAAGTAACTTTATGAATCAGACAATAACTTCCAGTCAGGGACTTTTACCTATTACCATGTCACTGCGTTCCTCGTTATCGCGAACATTTTCGTGTTTGCCGCCACTATACTGCGTTTCCTTAATTTGCGTGGCTGGTAGTTAGAACTGATGTCTTTAAGTATTAACACGTTAGGCTATAAATTGTTGCGAAGGATCTCCGAGTTACAGTGGTAGAACCGAAAGGCGGGCGAGTTGGAACTAATCTATAGTGCAATAGGACGGAAAGGTGGGCTAGTTGGTAATTCATGATTGTTAAACAAACTGGGAGCGCGGGGATAAACACAGGCACAAAAGCAAATAGGAGGCACACAGCACGAGCGCTCATTATAACATTGGACTTGTCTATACCATTTAGAGCGGAGAATTTGGCATATTCTTTTGGGATGACCAAAAGATGGGTTCATCCGTCCAAAAAGCACCTGTACATCGGTGGGAGAAGTTCCTTGACAAAAAGGAGACGTACAAGAAGAAGAAACAGTGCTTGGCCAGTTGCCAGCGGATGTCCAGTGCTTGTCCAGTTTTTTTTCTTGTGTGTTTTTTGTGTGCTGCCCACTATGGGTCAGAGTTACAATGTGTATATAAAAACGACAATTCCTTCAAGTTTTTTTTTCCTTCAGATGAAATTCATCTTTGTGAATTGTAATGCCGTCTGTATTGCGGCCATTCTCGCTTAAAAATAATTTGGGATGTAATGCTTGATTATGTACGTCCGACCTGACAATTGCCGTTGTCGCTAGTTTTGGCCGCTGAAATACGAGTACGAGGGTTTTTTTGGCATCCGTAGTGGATATATGTCACTTGTGTTTCGCAATAATGGCTGCTTATAAAAATTTTCTGCGAAAGTTCAAGTTCAAATTTAGTTGAAGAAACTTTATATTCTATAAGTTTTTTATCGAAATGGTGAACATGAAGGTAAACATTTTTTTTCAGTGTAGCATGTGTCAACTGTGGGACGAAGCAAGGGTATCCTACGTAGGATAATGAAGTATACCTATGCATACTTCTCCGCCATCATAAGAGACGCATATTTTTCCATACTTCTGGCATATGCTCTGGCCTCTGTGGCTGCAGTTCTGTGGCTTCGAACGTGCTGAAATGAAACAATAGAATAAAAATTCACAATCAAAGCGTACAATGAAATAGATTAAGAGGATAAATTACTGCTCCTCCTGACCTGAAATTTAAAGTACGAAAGGCGCGCACTATATTGTTTAGTTATTTATTTAAATGTCAATAAATATAGATTGGTTCCTTAATGAATTAAATTTGCAAAGTTGACTGAAACGAACGAGCACCACAAGAAAAAAAAACGCGCATATGCTGCAACACGATCAAACTTTTCTGATTGTTGATTGATATATATGTGGGGTTTAACGTCCTAGAACCACCATATGATTATGAGAGACGCCGTAGTGGAGGGCTCCGGAAATTTCGACCACCTGGGGCTCTTTAACGTGCACCCAAATCTGAGCACACGGGCCTACAACATTTCCGCCTCCATCGGAAATGCAGCCGCCGCAGCCGGGATATGAGCCCGCAACCTGCGGGTCAGCAGCCGAGTACTTTAGCCACTAGACCACCGCGGCGGGGCCTTCTCTGATTGTTGTGAAGCGTTATCGGGCTGTCCTAGAAAGCACTCTCAGTGAAATTAATCTGTTGCTTTTTGACATTCATGGTTAGCTTCACTGCGAATGACACCAATAACGCGCGAGACAATCTAGGAAGCCACAGTATTTTCAAAGTTTTGGTGAACACTTGGGTATTTTCCCCACCTTCTTTGCGTATTTGTTCTTTACCGAACGATGTGCTTGAATAACATAGTCTGAAATAGCTATTTCCTTATGCGCGTGCGTGTGTGAGTTGAGCGTTATTAGGCACTAGAATCAATGTCTCGTACACTCAGCTATAGCATTGTACACATTGTTATAACTGTACTTGACTATCAAGAGAAATATAACGTGGTATGTGATATATCAGGCATTGATTGATGTGTGGGGTTTAATGTCCCTAAACCGCCATATGAATATGAGAGACGCCGTAGTAGAGGGCTATTGAAATTTTGACCGCATAGGGTTTTTTAACGTGCACCCAAATCTGAGCACACGGACTTACAGCATCTTCGCCTCCACCAAAAATGCAGCCGCCGCAGCCGGGATTTGATCCCGCGACCTGCGGGTCAGCAGCCGAGTACCTTAGTCACTAGACCTTCATGGTGGGGCACAATATATTAGGGACGGATTACACGTAGGAAAATTCAGGCCTGATAGCTCCAGAAATAACTAAAAAAATAGTCGCCTTAAATGTGGATGGCACGCTGAAATCGCAAGTACTTGTCACAAAATTGCCTGAAAAATACGTGCAACAGCTTCTTCAGGTATAATTTGCATTAGATATTTCTGACGTATTAAAAAAATATTAGACGGAAGATTCAGATACGTGCCCCGATCAAGTTTCTTTGGCACAGATTAGTGTTGTGCTGACATCTAGCGTGCATTTGACGAAGATAAGCTGTCAGTTAAGGAGGGTTCATTCAAGCCTAGTCATGTTATACCACAATTGCTTCTTTCCCGCATAATAATAAATGTCTCACTCTAGGGGCTTGACGAAAAATTCACTCAAGATAAATAATAGTTGTATATTGTTTTTCAACAAAAATCGTGTTCTACTTAAAATTTTTTTGTAGTGTTTTACATAACTCATTTACAAGGCTTGTATAATACGCAGGGTATTCAGCCGAGCCGCTTAACGAATTTATTTTAATAGAAAAGAGGTTAGGTAGAGAAAAGAAAGCTGCCTAGTTTTCTTACAAGGAATCGAGAAGAAGCGAGACGAAGCGACTATGAAAGCTCCAAAAACCTACTGCGGATTTATCCTTCAGAGATAATGAAATCGAGCATACGAGTGAAATTCAAAAAAAAATCTAAAGGAGGGAAGCTACCTGTAAGTATTGATTTCTTTTCAGTTTGGTATACGATATTTGACTGTTAATATGAAAAATATGATTAAAATAAACTGACACACGATGTCTACCTACGCATCCCACTCCTCCTAATGTGTTTCTCTGGGAATGATTTTCTGTTAGTTGTCACTATTGTGTTGCCTAACAAAGAAAATGAGCCCTTAAAGTTATGCATCTTTTTTCTTGCAGTGTAGGCACATAATTATGTTCCTTCAGCTGTTTTCTGGTTATACGCTGCAGAGAACTTATTTTATGTTTGAGGCGTAAAATTAAACAAACGCGACCATATATATCACTTGTAATACAAGCTGGCGATATGTCACAACTATTCGAATTTTTTTTCTGTAGCAACTGTTGTTGTGTGATTATGTAACGCATTGACAGTCAGGAGTGAGTAACCATAAAGCGTGGAACTTTCTTTGTGACAGCGATAAATCAAGAGCGTATACCCAGAATTTTTTTTTCGAGGGGAAGAGGTGTTAGGGCTGTAACCATAAGTATAAAGTATACTTGTTCGTGCGTACATTTTTATGTGCGCGTGTATATATGTACACATGCGAAAATCTAAAGTTTCCTGAGAGGTGTTTCAACCCCCAATATCACACGCCCCATCCTGCGTCAGGCTGCACTGAGTGCTGTGAATCGAAAATGCGCTGCTCTTACTGGCAAGCTCACGTCAGGTCTGACAAGTATCAATGAAGAGTTTACCTGGTAGCTTGAGTTGCTGGCGATCAGATTCATTGTTCGTTTCCAGACTCCTGGAAGAACAGAGCTTAGTGGCAAACAAAAGGAGTACGACAAGACATAGGCATACGCCACGCAACATCCGCCCCATCGCCGTACACCTGTACTACGATCGCACCCGCAAGATTACGTCCGATTTTGCGGCCATTGTATCACTCCCGCCTTATCGATTCCCCGGGTCCACGTGATACGGAGGTGGTTCAAATTGGCTACGGGCAGCAACGGATTTTTAAGAGCAAGGTCTGAGACTGATTTTATTGCGTATTGAACAGCGCATGTGGTTGCTATGATTGAATTGAATATTAAACCGTTTTGATACGTCGATGTGCGGTCATCCTATCATTGCTCTAAGATTGTTATTATGTCTTCATAGTCAGCGTAATAAAATTTACCTTGGTACCGTTCATATTTAGGCATGCTTCAGTGAACGCAGAGTGGTAGGTTAAGTCATATGTAAGAACCTAGGGCAAGTAGGAATTATACGAGGAATTAAACTATCAGGGAGATTTACAGGCCAATCAACATTGCATGTACCTTTAATAAAAAATGTGTGAGTAGGCTGGATTTCCGCCCTATCTGCAGTGGAATTCTACTTAATAGCCCCTTGCAAAATCATGTATGTTGCAATCAAATGTACTCACCCTTAATATAATAATAGAATAATTGTAATTTAACAGTAGTACCTTATAGTTGCTAACCTTCTCCTCTTTCATTCCTCCAAGCGAAGCAACCTGTAAGCTATTTAATGCGTGCCAGCAGAAATTATTGTTATCGCAAATTCCATTGGTTAATTCGCCGCACAGTTTTTAACTTTATGGTCAGTCAACCTTAAAAGCAAATATGGTTTGCATACCTTGCGCACGGCGTAAATTGCAGGAATGAAGCTGCTAAGTTTAGCATGGGAAGCTCTACGTTCGTTGTGTTCCATTTTATACATACGGTGGGTGTACTTGCTGCTACAGGAAAAAAAAAGCTTATAATTACGGTGGGTGAAAGTGAATTAAATACCAGCCCGAAGCTGTACGCTCAATTATATATCTGTGTGACGTGAGCTTTGCAGCAAAACAACTACACAATCTACGAAGCGTCTCCGAACCATTGGTATACTTGCGCTACCTGCGAAATTTCGCCCGCAGTTTCCATTGCGCGGTTGCCTTTGTATGGATCAGATGGCGCCAAAAGTTCATGCAGCACCTGGGTGTGTTTTGGGGACCTATTTCTATGCTTCAGTAGTACTTCAAGACCATGCAGGTCGGGAAAAGTGGAGAAGCCTACGTATATAATAATTTATGATCATTTTTTACTTACGTTTATTGTTGCCCACATCGCAAAACAGGAGTTTCTTTATCGGGCGGAGATACACGATTTTCGAAAGCCAGTATAAACAGGAAAAAATTGTCACAAAATAAAACGAAAAAAGTGAGAAATAATTCTCAACAAAATTTCAACTTTCGATACATATATTACAGCACAATTAAGCTGAACACAGGATGCAACCGACTGCATTTTGTACAGCTCTATTCCACATATAAAAATGCAATTAAGCAAGAAAAAAACATGTATGTCAACAGTGCATCGTCGGCAGGTATTTAACATTGTTGCTATGCACGGCTGTTCTGTAACTCATTTCACATCTCAAAAGCCGATACAAAAACAAAATTTTCAAAAACTTTGTGCTATATTTCAGAGACTTTATGCACTTTCTGTGACTTTGTCGCGATTGCAACGTATTTAAAATAGAAATATCTAACATCCCTGTTTTGTGAAAAAAAAAACAATTCATGTTTTTGTTCATTTTTCTTGCACTGAAAGGATAGCAGTTTTTGTTACTGACTTTTGTTACTGGCTTGTTACTGACTATATTCTTCGGTATAAACAAAAAATAATTTTTAAAGTTTCATTTGAACCTGCTGATATGTAGCAATGCTATTTTGCTTGTATGACTTCCATATCGGCAATGCTTATTGCACCAACGGAAGTACCTTGGTTTTATACGCTAAAATCTTTACTTCAGCTGTCGCATCACCAAGCCTACAATGAAGCACCCAAATGTTTTTTTTTGGCGCGGGGGGGGGGGATATAACAAGTAATATTTATGCGGCAGCTGCATTGTCACTAGTGGAATCTTCACTAGTAAAAGTAGTGAAGAATGTCATTCTGAATTTCTATCAAGATATTTTAAGCAGTGGGTGTCAGCAATGATCGTGAGAGATATATTCTGGAGGGTTGTTGGTTGAAAGCTAGATGTTCTAACCAGTAGACTGTTAATTTGACGCTGAAGTTTAGTGTGACGTATTTGATATTGTCGGTGTACTTTCATACCCTGTGAAATAAATTATTATTATGAAAAAAATAAATTTCAAATATTTGTTAGTTGATAGAGAAAGAAACACCAGATGAGCTATTAGACTAAGTTACTATATTAAAGAATGGCGCTGTTGGAAGGCGTCGCAAGAAAAGCTTACGTTATTTTTTATCTAACTCAACCCTGACGATATTCTTTTATTAGTGTGAGCCTCGGGTAACGCTGCCACTCTGTTAGTCTCGATGTAGAATTTCTTTTATTAGCCACATGCGCCTTTCAGTTTTTGAGCACTTTGCTATCAAGTTAGAATAAGTGGACAGCCTATCAGATGCTGACTTTGTTTTTTTTTTCATTTTATTAGGCACTACGACGCAGCTGTGCTCTATCCAAAGAAAACGACACTATGTAGCGCTGGGCCATTGCTTGTGGGGCTCACCACTGCTCGTAGGTGCACCACATGAGGTACAAGATCTCTCGGGCCAACCCTGCTACTGCGGGCTGCCAGCAGATGAACCGCGTTGGAACTTAAGTTATCTCGCAGCAATTACGGCACCCAAAGGCTTAGCCACATGCTACCTACTATACTGAACTCATGCGAGCAGCAAGACAAAAAATTGACACATTAAACAACATTGATGTGCAAACACCATTCTTGTAGATTTGTATTGTTTACTTAGGTCACTCTGTATTGCTTTGTATCATTTAGTGTGTACCTTTAATTATATATATTTTTATTTATTTTGTGTAATTTCATTGTGTACCTTTCTTACGTACGAAAGCGACGATATATACTCTGCGAATTACTACATGTGCTCATGTGTTTATGAAATATTCCTTTTTGTTTGTGTACCTTGGCCTGTCATTTACTTTGCCTTCTGCTTGTATTGTTTCTTGCTTTATACTATTTGTTTTTTTCATTATATTGTATTTCGTTTTTACCCTGTCATTGCTGACGTAGAGTGGACGGTGCTTAGTCAAGTTGCAATAACTGCAGCTTTTTTGCCGTCTCCCCATTTTTCGCCATTGTATCTGTTTGGGTGAAATAAAAATAAAATAAATAAAAAATTAAAAGTTCCATCTAAATACGTACGTACGCCGGGCACGTTCACTGCATTTAACGTATTTCAAAGCAGCATAACTTTCGGAGGGCGTAATTCTCAGCTGACAGGTTGTTGGGAGCCAATCAGAAGCTTTTTTCTTGAGGGCTCAGTGGTTTTTCAAGAAAACGAAAAACGAATTAATTCACTGTGTAGACTCCTGCTCCTTTCAATTACCTTAGAGTACGTGGAGGTATGTAAGAAGAAAAAAAAATTGTTTTCCACGGAAATTATGAACACGTTGTAGAGACGTCAATATGACTGCCAACTGTATTGTTACGGGGGATGGGCTATGACATTGCTTTTGTTTAATGCGCACCTCAACTGGCACCTCAATGTCTTATAGCTGAGGACGCATTTGTCATACATTGTTGGTTAAATTTTTTTTTTCGAATAACCGAAGCTCATTACCGAGCTTTTATTTAAAAAGGACAAGTAAGCAAAGAATGTATAAGTACAAAAATTGTTGCAGCTTTGTCTTTGTGATGGTAAGCCTGAAGGAAGGGGGGAGCTGGATAGCCTTCTTTGTTTCTCTTTTGTTATCTCTTTGTTTTTTTGCTGTAATTTTTCTTATCTTTTCTAGTAGTTTTCAAGCATTTTCTTTTGATTTCTTTTATTTCTTTCTTGATTCATGTTATTTTCTTTCTCTCTACTTATATTTCCCGCTTCTATTTCGTCAACTATTATACGTGGCCTACATTGTCGTGTTTCTCTAGACAGAGTAATAATGTCTGCATTCAGTATCTTCACCAAAGCGACCGAAGAACAAGAGGAAGAAGACTTCGACGCGAGCGCGCGTTCAGTGTGCTACAGCTGGCTTTGCTACATGTGGTTTCGTCAGCGTTGCACCTAGCGATGACGACAGCGCATGATCACAGCAATTGCCAGCGTAAGAAAGCCACGCCCTCTAATGTGCGCCGCACTTATAAAACAACAGACATAAATATAATTCTGAAACCACTGTGGCCAGAAAGAATTGTGAATGATTTGTACGTGAATATGCTACTAGCAGGTGCACCTCATACGCAGGTCATTTTGGCGTTAGGTATGACAACTAAGAAAGTCTCCTGAGCCTCAATCGTATAGAATCAAAAGTCATTTTATTTCATCTTAGCGTTGAGGCTCTGCAGACTGTAACGCTTGAAACGTACATGACAAGTGAACGGCGGCAGGGGCGACGTGCTTTGCTTCTTTATTGTGGGCGCAAACTGCAGCATTAGCCTGGTAAAACTCGTCAGCGTGAATATTTGATGCTCGGGCTGCTGCACGTGGTCCGGCCGGCCGCAGATTACCTGAGTGCACACGCTGGGCACCAGATCTTCAAAAGGACGGCGGGAGCTTATCCCGAAACACCTAGCGATGTAGCGCAGCTGAGGTCACGCAGCCTATACGAAAATCCTAGCGTACTTGGCTTTGCGGGAATAGCGAGTGCATAAAACGGCCACGCCAAGAAGTATAACGCAGGAGCTGAGGGAGGCACACTATACGAAACGTACAGCGTGTTGCGCTAGTCTTACGACAATACAAGCAAGGATGACCTTGTTTCACTATAATAATGCCTCAGATAGGAATGAGATAGAGTTTTTGTGTCCCTGAAGCTTATCCAGACTCAACTAAAGAAAAATAGACGTGATGCCATCTGAAGTTAGCTCACTGTTCATGGTGTTTTCTGGAAGCTAGCAATAATTAGAATAGAAAAGAAATAAAAAACTACAC